CATCTCCCGTAGCAAACGTACTCCCTCGGGCTAAACCACCCGTCCAGACGCAAAGCCAACAGAAAAAAAAGCCTCCCGACACCTGCCTGCCTGCACATGGTGCAACACCAGTTCAGACACGCCCCAACCTAAANGCTGACCCTTCACGACACGTGCCTGCGAGAGACGCCCAAACCTAAGGCAACGCCAGTGCAGACACATCATCCACGCCCTAATGACTAACAACAAACGTACTCCCTCAGGCTGAACACCACCCCAAAGAATACACGCGAACGGCACTCACATCGTCAGATGATGCCTTCATGCCTGCAAATACTACAACGGATATCAACACCTGATGTCGTGCGGATCGACGACCCCTACAACATGTAGAGCAATTGCGACGGCAATCGCAACACCCGAACCCATTTTCCGTGGCGGCCCTGCACGACCACGCGTACATGCGAAACACGCTCACCTCATGTCTCGACCCGCGCCCATGCTGCATCACAAATACGTGCCTAGCTCACTAGCCCTCAAACGCAGCGACAACCAGAGACATCTATCGTGCGCACTCCCATCTCCCGTACCAAACGTACTCCCTCGGGCTAAACCACCCGCCCAGACGCACAGCAAACAGCCGCTCACGCCTCCCGACACCTGCCTGCCTGCACATGGTGCAACACCAGTTCAGACACGCCCCAACCTAAACCAACGCAACTGCAAGCACATCACCCACGCCCTAATGACTAGCAACAAACGTACTCCCTCGGGCTGAACACCACCCCAACGAATACACGCGAAAGGCACTCACCGCTTCTGATGATGCCTTCAGCCGCGCAAATGCTACAACGCCTCTCCACATCTGGCTGTCTGCAGGTCGACAACCTCTACAACACGCAGAGCAGTGGCGACGGCAATCGCAACACCCGAACCCACTTTCTGTGGCTCCTGTACACGACCGCGTTCACATGCGAAACACGCTCACCGCATGTCTCGACCCGCCCCCATGCTGCAGCACAAATACGTGCCTAGCTCGCTAGCCGTCGAACGCAGCGGCAATAAGCACCATCTATCGTGCGCATTCCCATCTCCCGAACCGAACGGACTCGCGCGGGCGTAACCACCTACCTAAGGTACATGGACGTGGCACTCGCATTGTTCAAAAAAAGTGCTGCCCCTGTTCCCAGACAGCCGGCCGGGGCCTGACCAGCTGACCAAAGGGGAACTGTACGGAAACTTCAATCGTGCGAGCTCAAATCACTGCGTGCGTGCGTCCTGGCCTCCATGCGCAGATGTGAATAAGACTAGCCGAGTG